CCAAAGCGCACTGAGGGAGATGGAGCTGGGAACTTCACATTACTCCCGGTCTGCCCCTCACCTAGGCACCCCTTCTCCCTGGGATCCTCATTGGTGGGGGGGTCGCATACCACCAGCAGCTGCCTCTCCCCACCCCGACTTTTAGACCTCTTTAGAAACCCTTAACACACTACACACGGTGCCTCACACAGCAACTCTTGCCCAGGGTTACGTCTTCATTTCCTGGCAGAGCACACGCAAATCAATGGGCTGCTTTTATGGTTTGCATTTTGTTGTGGTTTTTTTTTTTTTTTTAATCTCCCCAAGGAGCCTCAATTTCTATTCCAAGGCAAAGTCGTGCTTCAAACACACGGAGCAGCATATGTTATTTCTTCACCTACCAATCAAGAGACTAGAAGAAACCAGACTGGTACTTATATATCTGCCATTTCATAAATGCTAGGCAATACCCTAGAACTGTCTTCATTGCGACATCCAATCTGTCCCCAGCAGAACGTCCAAGAAAAGGAGGCGATGCAAACAACGGAAAGGAGCCACGCTACAGCAACCTAAAGGTTTAGTTTTGAAAAACAGTCATTTTAGTGGATAGAAATAAGGAGAAGCAAATTTGTCGCTTGTCTTTAACACCTCATCCACACACACTCTGCACAAACGTCCCTGAAGGGATCCCACAGTGCAAAACCAGCTACAGGAACGAACGCCGCGCCCACTTGACAGAATCCTAAGGGACCGCCTGCAACTATAACGACTCCTGGCCATTTCACACAGATGGAGCCAAAGTGACAAACGAGAAGCAGCACGTTTGGCCCGTAGCGATCTGGCGGCAAGAGGCACGACCGAAGGAACTGATTCCAAAGGCAACATGTGGCACCGCGGGGCAGGGAGATCCCGGAGCAAGGGGCTGCCAGCCAAGTAAATGTTGATTCATGGGGACAGACAGACAACAGCAGCAGTTCTCAGAACGAGCCTTGCCCAAGAACTCCAAAAATAAGTTACAATTTCTCAAAGCTATCTTTCAGTCAAATATGTTTAAAGTAATTAAAAATGAAAGGTAGATGAGGAGAATTAAGTTCCCCTCAATTTAGACAGGAACTCATATCTTAAAATGCACCAGAGGCATAGAGTAATCTTCCAGAAATGTTTTTCCTGTCACATCTTACTGTTTAATTATATATTACCATTCCAAGCTATCATGACAGATTTTAAGTGAGTTTGTCTTTTTTCCATAATTAATCATAGCAAAGGCTCATCTGTTCTTCAAGCCTGGTGATGACAGCACTGTTTTCACCACTGTAAGGCAATCGTCCCACAGCATTCCTTCCTAAAAGCTATTGCAAAGCGAAAACTCACCTATCTGCACAAGATGCCTTTCAAAGATATAAATCAGCTCCATATACATCACTTCACGCAACAGGGAAGTAAAAAAAGGAAAACTGCTTTCCCATAGCAAGCAATCAGACACACAAGCATAGCACAGGCTAACAATGCTAAATAAATCCTAATTATAAATGTATAAACCAAATGTAACCATCCAGGAACAAGTATCCTACCCCTAAAACATTAGGCACTCAGAGCCATCAGCATCCACCACTGTTGCAGGAGGAAGGGAGGCAAAAAGATGCTTGGATCTTCTGCGAACATAAGGTGGCCTCCCTTATAATTACCACAGTTAAAAGTTATTTTAAAGGCAGCTTTGGTCACCATCATATTCTATTCTAGGGGCAGACGACGGATCTTCAAAAATAACTTGTAGCTACATGTAGATCAGTGCTAACAAACTACCTAAACGAAGAAGAGCCACATTCAAAGTAGAGAAAAAAATAAATGCTAATTGGACGACAGAAAGAAGTCTTACTTTCTTTTTTTAGTATCACAAGTCACAAAAGTGAGATTACTGGGGCAGGGGGAGGAGGAATAACTCTTCTGCTTTGGAAAAATCAAGCATTTATCGCTTACAACAGCTACAGCATATAGCACACACGTAGGAAATTTTCTTGCTGACCGCTGAAGGAAAAAGTATTTCCAACGTAATCAATAACATACAGGGATCTCCATTCAAAGTGTTTTATCCTTCATCCTCTCAATTTGAACTCCTCAAAGGATGAATTAGATACTCGCAAAATTACTTTTTCCCCCATCTGTGAAATCCTGCGAGACACACACTTTTTTCTTGTGCAAGCAACAAATAGAAATCCAATCTGCTGTTAATTGATTTAGATTGCTCTGTAGAAAAACTATGATTTTCTGCAGTTCTCTTCCTATGCTACGCTGGTAGCTTCCCAATTACAAGTCATTAAGAAAAAAATTACATAGCTTGTTCTGCTCATAAAAACAGGCATAGATGGGCACCACACAGCCCTGAGCAGCCATAAAGCTTTGTGTGTCTTATTACAGTCTCATAAGAGCACCTTTAGATCAAAGCTCAAGTTTTCAACAACCAACCATTGCATTAACAGTGCCACCTTTACGGCTTTCTAGCTGCTTCCCAATTTTCCTGAGCAAGGTAACTAAAGCAGCAACTACAAAGAGGAATATATTCAGTTTGACAGGCTGCAAAAGACTAAGGTTCACATTTGTATCCAAACATTAGAATGTTTGGATATGTATTAGAAACATTTTTACTAGTACTACTCTTTGTTAAGGCCTGACCTCCAAAAGATTCTGGCATTCCAAGTGATAATTTTCTCCCAAGTTACAACAAAATGTAAGATTCAGCCATGTATCTTAACCATCACTTTTAGATGATGAATGTTTTTAAATAATCACAGGATCCTGACAGCTTGGTGATCTGTTCCAAAAAGATGAAGAGAAACATGTTGAAAGAGACAAACAGACAATTGCCCAGGAGAGCACAGAGAGAAAGTGATCTTTACACAGGGCATTATACATATCTCTCTTCTTTTATTTACAAGAACAGAGTCAACTGTTTTCAGTCTTCTTATTTAAAAATGCATAGGAATAATATGCACTCAAAAATACTATGTCATATTAAATCACTTAGATTTTCCACCCACTAGAAGTAGGTTTTGTATTTTATTTATTATGAAAATATTAAATGCACATTTGCATGCCTTAATCAAAGCATTAGAGATTTCCCATACCACATGTGGCAAACTTACAGACTAGCAAGAAACAGTAACAGCCCATTTTCTATGCCAAAAGAAAGGGAAGTGGAGGTCCTAAACCTTGTCTGGAAGCCTCAAAACCCATAGAGACCTCTAGCTACCCAAAATATTAGGAAGTTATAAAGTAACACTTCTACTGTACTCCAGTCACTTAGACTGTGAAGAACATCCTGTGCTGGAGAAATCTTCCCAGCAAAAAACAACACAGCTTTCCTTTCTAAGTATCAAAATTAGCATTCCGTTTTCCAGATATTTAGGAAAAATGTAAGCATAGCTTATGATATTTTTTTCCCCAGTCCTTACAACTAGCCTTTAATTTTCTGCCATCTGTACTTCAGGAAACTTCAGTCCTTTCATTAGGAAATCCCTCCCACAGGTTTACTTGTAGGGAACGGTTCAGATCTCAGCTATGTAGTACAGCAATTAACTTGAAATCGCACATCCGGAGCCAAAACAGTGTATTATTTAGAAAAGATGAATTATTTAAGATCAATCTTCACTCGCTATTCTTAATTTAATGCACAAGTCTTTTAGCCTTTTGAATATTAGAATACACATAATTTTCTCATTAACAGAGAAGAAGCAACTTAAAGTGGTTGTAACAGGAGACTTACAATTGTCTCCCCTAACCAAAACAACAGAACTTACTGTACAATTTGTTCATCCAAGGAAAACCTCAAATACAGCCGTGTTTCCTCAGACATCTTATAAAACCGTAGTACTTGCATACACATATGCATACAAACTGTCTGCAAGCCATCCCCAAACTCAAAGCCCTTAGGAGGTGCTGACTACACACTTGCACGCAAATAAAGTTACGTCCAGAGGATTCAAAACAACGGCAGAAAATGTAAACCAGCACTACAGAATTCGAGATGGAGAACCACAAGCATTTCTGTTTCATAAACCACACTCCCAGAAGTTAAGAGGAAGACTGTCTCCACCAAAGGTGGTGTTCCTCAGAAAGAAGCTGTCTAAGAAAACAAACTATTCAAACACCAATGAGATCCAGATTCGAACCTGTATCCTACATAATCTGACATATCGAATCACCACCAAAGAGCTACAGCTTTTAATGTATGGAATACTTAAAAAACCCGCACTGTTACATTTCAGATATCAGAGGAAAATCTTTTGACAACAGGAGCACTTTGCATTTAAGAGAGAAAAGAGAGCCTCTGTGGCTAAAGAAGAGAGCACCCAGTCTCTGTAGCACAAATTTCTACCAATGTTTACACAACTCACTTCTGCCCCTTCTGAACCCTCCGCTTTCCCCCCTGCCACAATGAGGGTACCTCCATACCCACCCCAGCATCCGTCAGAGCCTCAGAAGACTCAAACATACAACAACCAAAAAACCCTCACATTTCTCCAGTAACGTTCAGATCTGTTACATGAATGTTTTGCTAGAGGAAATGCCTGAGTGAGTAGCTTTAGACAACTGTTTTACATTAAGGAGGAAGCACATTAATTTACCGCACGAGTACTACCTCGATGCACTTTTAGGAGGTACAGTATTGTGGCCACAGTTGCCATTTTCAGTGTCTGAGAATAAACACAACAGCTGCCAACACTAGGTTGCATAAGAGCACTTTAAGCACATGGTTATTTACAAAAGCAGAGGTAATTATAATGCAGGAGGTAGATCCCAAACAAACAGACTTGACTAACACTCTCAAAAAAAACCCCTAGATCTACAATTACTATCACTTAATTGCAGGACAGCTGCACGAACAGCTTCAGTCGCTGGCTGTACCACCAATATACAGCCAAGAAAAGAGTTGGAAAAACACGCCTTTTTAAAAAGGCAAGCTGATGCCTGAAGTTACACGTAAAGGAGAAAACAGGAAAATACCAATTCTCTCGACAGCTTACCTGATCTGGACTTAATGATGTCGCTGAACTCACTGTGTCCCCCGCCAGGTCCTTCCTCCTGGTCAGAGACGCGGGCCATGCTCACAGGCTGGGGTACACCACGGGCACAGCCTAAATCCGTCGGGAGAGGGTTCCCATGGAGGGCCCCGGCTCAGCACCAGCACCTACAGCGCAGGACCAGGAGCAGAGAGGCACCGTAACT